AAGTCTTATGGTCAGTTTTATTTGATGACAGAACTGCAGGACTGCACCTCTTCTGTTGCAACACTTAGAAGTAGGTCCTGAAAATTATATAAGAAAGGATTTTTATGATCGATCAGAACATTCAGGGAATCTTTCCCAAGACTAGCTTCAGCAGTTGCCTAAGAATTATGCAGATATTAAATGTTTTACAAATTCAGATAAGGGGCCATTCTTTTAGTAGGGGTGGTCCAGGAAATTTCACAAGAGAGGTGGGATTTGAGCTAGCTCTTGAAAGGACAGGGAGACAGTTAGCATGAGTCCTGTGGAGATGGCCAAACATTCTCTGACGTCTACAATGGATGTTCAGTTTACCTGTTCTTTCTGCAAATAGAGTTTTAAAATTCTTTTCTCAATTGTTTCCCTGGAACTCAGAGCAAAGCATATCGTAAACAGTCCATGCACATTTTACCTGAGTTTAGTTTAAGTTCAGCAGTTTTACATCAATCACATGTCAGGGGCAAGGTGCTTTGCAAGTCGCTCCAGAGGTGTGGAGATGAATGAGGCCAGGTTGCTGAAAGTCCTACTGGGTGTGGTTGGTACACAGACACTCGAATGCAGCACCCTGGGGAATGTGATCAGTTCCACTGGAGAAACACAAAGCACTATCGTTTTTCTCTGTTTTTTAAGTTAAGTTGCATTTTACATGTAGAAAAATTCACCGCTTTTATTGTACAGTTCTCTGTGAGTTGTGACAAACACACAGTCATGGACTCACCACAATCAAGATATAGAACAGTTCCATCACCCCCCTCTCTAAATTTCCCCTGTGCCCCCTTGTAGTAATTCCTGCCTCTTACACCCAGCCCCTGGCAACCATTGATTTTTTGCTGTCCCTAGAGTTTTGCCTTTTCCAGAATGTTATATAAATGGAAGTATTCTGTGTGTAGGTTTTTGGATTTGGCTTCTATCACATAGCATGATGCATGTATTAGTTATCTGTTGCTGCTAAATTATCCCCCAAACCTAGTGACTTAAAACAGCAAACATTTATTACCTCACTCTGTTAGTTTTCTCTTGCGGTTGTAATAAATTACCAAAAATGTATTGGCTTAAAACAACACATATCCAGGGTGTAGGAATACATATCCCAATCAGTGTTATATAACAACATAAAAATATTATAATAATATAAATAAATCTGCTAATTTGATACGTCAAAATGATCTTTTTAAATTTTTAGTAGAAGTGGAGTTTAAGAATGTTAAATCTTGTACTGGCTATTTGTAATTTAGTTTTATAAATTTTAAAAATGTCTTTGTCAATATTTCTGTTATACTCTGAGAATGTTTTTAACTTGGCCCCAGTATTCATGAATAGCCAAGTAAGGGAGAAAGCAGAGGTGGCAGGCAGGTACAGGCTATTGCAGTGATAAATCTAAAGACATAAGAAGGAGACACATGGAGTAACAGTCATAGTCTTAGCTTGGGTTCCCTAGAGATCAAGCCTGCGATGGGGACGTTTGCTCAAATGATTTATTGGGCGAGTGGTCTCAAAGGAAGGAGGGAAACAGGTTGTGTTCAACTGGAAGCTGGTTTCAGCCTGATCCTATAGGGAGCTCTGGAGAGGGAATTATAATTATACAGAGTTGGTTCTCTTGGAGAGCACCTGGCTGTGGGGCATGACTTTCCAGATATGACGGTGCCCATCAGCCAGGGACAATTTTCTGAAGAAATCAGTGCCCATAGCAGTTGGGAATGGGCACATGGGACTCATAAATCAGAACAAGACAGAACATCATAGCGCCCACTCCATTGGAAATGTAAAGCGCTGGACAGAACAGTATAGAGATCCTGAAAGATCTAGTGATGTTGGCATTGATCAGTCGTAGAGACTCTGGGAGAAGGTGTGATAGCAAATGTTTCTTAAGTGTTTATCTCGCGTGACTGGTTACAGAGAATCTCCCATTGCAGGAATCAGAGCATCTTGAACGGGGGAAGACTTGAGGAGACAGGATGAAGGGTTTAGATTTGGGGTAGGTAGGAATGAGGTTCTGTAACGTAGGAGGGATAGAGGGCTGGGGCTGTGGGCAGGAAAGAGATCACCAGTGGAGATAAGTATTTCAAAGTGATAGACCATAAAGTGGAAGGGGCAGGCTGGTGCACCTCGAAGGAGCCCCAATATCCAGGAGATATCTTTCTTTCCCTTTCCAGCCACCCCCTCCTCGTCTGTCTTCCTTTCTCTCTCTCTTTCCTCCACTTTCTCTCCTTCTTTCCTGATTTTCTCCCAACAAATGGTCAGAAAATCGGAAAAATCTGATTAGCCTGATAGACAGCAAGAATGAACGAATGGAGAGGGAGAGATTGAAAAGGCCAGAAAGAGAGGGGATAGTCAATGGATGGGAATCTTGAGGGCTGTATACCAGAAACTAACGTTGTACTGCATGTCATTTATCCCTGAATTAAAGAAACAAAAGGAAGGAATGGGAAGAAAACTTGGAGATCTGCCGTCTAGAAGCCAGTAAGCTATAGCCTTTGGACTAGGACCCTCTTTTATTTACTAGCACCATTTAGTGCTCGTTCCTGTGAGAAGTATCACTTAAGGCTACTCTGGACAGAAAGCTTGGCCACTTGTCACTCCCATTGGTGACAAGCAGCACTTCCCACTGGTCAGCCATTGGAATCCTACCCTCCTTACTCTTTAATTTTTTTTTTTTTTTATAATGATCACATTTATAAAAAAGACCTTTATTTATTTATGTATTTATTTAAAATATATCTTTATTGATTTCAGAGAGAGGAAGAGAGAGAGATAGAAACATCAATGAGAGAGAGTCATTGATCGGCTGCCTCCTGCACGACCCCAACTGGGGATCGAGCCAGCAACCCGGGCATGTGCCCTGACCTGGAATCGAACTGCAATCTCCTGGACCCTAGGTTGATGCTCAGCTGCTAAGCCACGCGCAGCCAGGATTAAAAAAAAAAAAAAAAAGATTTTAAAAATTGATTTTTAGAGAGAGAGGGAGGGAGAGGGAGAGGGAGAGAGAAACATCGATGTGAGAGAGAAACACGGATTGGTTGCCTCCTGCACCTCCCCCCAGTAGGAATCCAGCCCTGGACCGGGCCCTCACCCTTCGATGACAAGGGATGATGCCCCACCAACTGAGCCACACTGGCCAGGGCCCACCCTCCTTGCTCTTGAGTAGTTGTTCTCTGGCCCACTGACATGTTTTGGCTCGAGAGGGTGGGAGTGCTACTTTCTACACATGCTCCCCAGCAGCTCAGAGCAGGGCAGGTAGGAGCTTTCTCCAGGGCTCCGTGGGTAGTTCAGAACCACAGAGAGTGTACGCGCACACTCCCCCCCCGCTGTAACCTCCAGGTCTACACAAGGGGGACAGCCTGTCCTGTCCTCACTCCCTTCTCACAGACCAGAACCCACCAAAGAAGGGGAAAGCTCAGCCCCTGAAAGTGCTGACTAATAGCATTGACTGTTATCTGAGTGATACTACTTTTGTTTCCATTCTGTCTTTATAGTGTGAACTCTTTCCTTTGATATTTTGTAAATATTCATCATCTCAGAGCCTTTTGAATTGCAATGGCTTTTGGTCAAAACTGAGCAAAATTTGCCATTTGAATAATAAAAACCTCATTAAAGCAAGGCTAAAAGAATTCCTTTCCTTTTATGCAAGCCAATGAAGTGTCTTTACAATTAATAATAATAAAAAAAGTCTAGCACTTTATAGTTTCATATTCCATAAGCCTGTTTTTAATTAACGGAGGTGACAAGTTTCAGGCACAGGGTGCATATTTTGCCTCTGGTGTTGTGCAGTTAACATTAACGAAGGGCATTGAAATTTGGTGAAACAGGAAGGGGTGGCCCAGGTCCTCACGGGTTCATGCCTCCGGGCTGAGGTCTTTGGGAAGCAAGTTTCTTTGCTTGATACAGTTTGCATTTTCTTGATAAAATGAGCAGGCTGGGATAAAGGTGTCGTAATCAAAAGGTTATGTTGCCCAAATCCCAAGTGCCCAGGCCTGTCTTAAAGACAGGGAAACACTGGAAAAACAACTTAGAAGAGTGTTCTCTTGTGGATTGAAGGGAAGGGCAGAGTGACTTATCCTGGCAGATACCTCGCAGGGTTCCGGAGCTTTGCTTCCCCATTTTTCTGTTGTTGGATTTTAAGCGGCTTCTAGTTCATATGCGGTTTTTAAAATTCTGGCTAACTTGTAATTGTCACTCATCCTATGAGTAAACCTTTATGTACATTTTGAGTATTTCCTTAGGGAAGAGTCTTGGAAACTTGTCTAGTAGACCTGGGAAAACAAGGACCTCACCCCCAGGGTGACCTTTTCTCCCCGATCATATCACTGGCCAAGAGATTTAGACTCCCTGCCCTTTCATATGGCTGGTCATGTGGTTCCTACCCTCTCCTGACCTTTCCTCCCCTGGCAGGTCACCAGTCGTGTGGTAGACCCCCCTCGGAGGAGGACCAAGGGGCCAGAGAGTGGCCTCATGTGACTTCATTACAAGCCCTTGCACAAACACTCCCTTAAACATTAACTCCTAGGGATAAAATCTAGGCTCCAGTTGTATTTCAGCTTCAGGCCCAGAAAAACAACAAAACCAGACAAATGATGCCATGGATGACATCTCCTTTGACTCACGGCCCCCTGCCCTGGGGCTGAGAATTGGATGGAATTAAGAAGCACAGATTCAGTTAGGTGTAGGTCCTAGGCTCCAACCAAGGTGACCAACACATTCTGGTTTGCCCAGTATGACTCTGGTTTTAGCACTTAAAGTCCTGCATCCCGGGAACCCCTTTCCTCAGCAACCCCAGACAGTTGCCAACTCAAAGTCCAAGCCCTTCCCCATCAGAGTGGTTTAAGATGCGACATTCTGGGGCACCCCATTTTCATGTTACTGGAATCTTGAAGATAGCAAAGAATTGTTTATTCCCGAGGGAGCATGAATTATCCCTGACTTTAGCATGTTTATGCCTGCACAACACTGGCTGTTTTATTTTTCAGGTCTCTGCATGTGCTCGTGTGCAACGCGGCGGCTTTTGCTCTACCCTGGAGCCTCACAAAAGATGGCCTGGAGACCACCTTCCAGGTGAATCACCTGGGGCACTTCTACCTGGTCCAGCTCCTGCAGGATGTCTTGTGCCGCTCAGCCCCAGCCCGGGTCGTTGTGGTCTCCTCGGAGTCCCATAGGTGGGTTAGAATTCCATGTTTTGTTCACTTGTGGCCCTCCTCGCACTGGCTAATACTCTCCCAAGGCTCTCTTTCTGAAAATAATTTTCATCAGTCCTACTCTGAAAACTGTGGGTGCACTCGACCTGGCTTACTTAATTTTTCGAGGTTTTTTTTTTTTTTTTT